TCCACACTCAGGGTCACGTGAACTTCGTTTCCAAGTGCTCCATGGTTTGGGATGCCTACAAAAATGATTATAAAAAGCTTCCCCAAAAATGCTGGTATATTAGTATGATAAATTCCTGTATTTTGTTACTACTTTGAAAAGAATCATGCACTAACCAGCAAAATTCCAAAATTTTGACTAGTCTTTCATCGGGGCACAAAGGACAATACAAAAAGTGTTAAATAGCACTCCAAACACAAGACGCGGAAAATCATGTAGACTGTGCTTGTGTTGTTTGATATTTCCCTGCCGTCTTCTGTATCTGTAGCTGGTATAATGTCATTAACCTCGGCCGCGCATGCCACAGCGAGGGTTTACTGAGTTGGGTTTGTCTGCGTGTGTCTGTTACCTACACTCACCTCTCGAATGTCTGTTCGTCCCAGAAACGATACCATCTACCTAACGGGCGACAAGGTCAGAAAATATGTGGCGTTTCTCAAAAATCCTCCGTTGCAGAGCTAAGCGCTTCACAGCATTGTAGGCTAAGACGCGATAGTCGACATTTTATCGCTGGCTTATAATTCGCCATGCGCGGACAGCAACGAATGGCGGGTATCGACTCTCACGTGCTATCTACTGCTGTAGCTAGCAAGCCCGTGCGAGCTACTTCGCCGAGGGTTTGCACTTTAGTGCTTTTCATTACTTATCTGTGTTGATATCCACACAACAACATTGTAAGATCTTATTCTTGTCTATACGTCTCTCAGCTTATTTAAAAGTGTGAGGGTGGGTGCCTGAGTTCACGATTTACTTACAGGGCCTACAATAATAATTATGCTCAATAGTTGAGAATTTATAGCTTGTTGGCTTTGTTTTCTTTTGCAAGCCCTCTTATCTTGTTTCATATTTTCAAAGTAGGAGCATTGTTGCAAGCATTAGCTAGTTTCTCCTTTCAAAGTGGTGCTGCTCTCCCTTCCTTTCTTCTTGTTATTGCAGTCTCTTCTCTTATTGAGACTTCTTTTCCCTGTTCTTGCTTCGTGTTTGTATCTTCAGTCTAATGGTAGGGCTAGTTAAGACCATTTGTTAGGGGTATGCAACCCTTGTCTGTAGGTACCCTCTCCAAGCAAAAATCCATCAGCTTACAAATACACCAGTATTTTCATGTATTGTATTGAGAGCTTCTCTTAATTACGCACCAAGGGTTACAGCTCTGTGTGTCCGTCTGGCTGTGCTGATTCTGTGTGTCCTGCAGCCTATCTGAGCACACTAATATAGCCCTGACAAACTCGTCTTAAATCGACTCGTCAATTCGAGACATATGCACATCAAACCAGCGCAAACAAAGGCCAATATGGCATAATCGCACCGTGGCTTACCCGTTACCCATGATCGCACAATAAGTTACAATACGACATAATATTGTACTCCCGCCTGCTGTCTATAGTCCCTCTGTCAGACTGTTGGCGAGCGTGAGACCACGACCAGAATACAAACTTATAGCCCAAACCGTTAATTAGCGGTACCACACCTGCGAGGTGCTCCAAGAGTTTGCAGTTCAGTGTTTTTCATTTGTTGTAGTCGACTTATTAAATACTTCCCTGTGCTGACCCCGCGGTGGACACCGGGTGACGGCGGGGAGTGTGGCGGGTGAGTGTGCGGAATTGGCCAGAGATGCTCGTATCCAACAGGCCCATCTTTATCACCACTGATGCACGAGCACTAGCTGCTGGCAGTGACTTCTAGAAGGTCTAATCGTTGCTAAGCTCTTCACACGCTGTCCGAGCTAACAGTCTCACCTGGATCTGAATTGACGGATATCTTCGGGCATCTGTAACGTACGTAGGTAGTAAAAATTTTAAGTTTAACTAGCTCTTTTGAGATGCGAGATCGCTGTGCTGGTCCTGGAAGTGGTATGGCTTCGAGCCCCTACGACATTTTGTGTGTGCACACAGGTTACGTCTTGCTACAACTGCTGAGGTAACGACGCAGCATGTAATTTGTGTGAGTGTCTGAGGCCGACTACCACATGCTGCCACTGATCTTCCGATTATCAGGGGTGGGTGTGTGTGGGCAGTGGAGCATTAGCTGAGTGTAAGTTGGTCGGGCGAGCGCTTGGCATGTCTGACAGTTTCGACAAACTTGGCCATACATCAGTTGCGATATCCACCCCTGTACGCGTCTCTTCGGACGGCCATTCCAGTTCCCTGGTGGCTGCTGTACGCGAGGCTCGTGGCACTGACGGAGGGCTCACCCTGGCGCGTAAGCCCATGGTGGTAGATTGGACTGATAACTTCTTACATGCAAGGTCCCAGGTACATACCTAACTTTCGACACAGGACACACCATTTGCTTCAACTCTGAGTATGGTTTCTCCATAGCTGACCTGTAACGTTTTTCATGGACTTGTCACAGTCCTCAGCCTGCTTTGGGCTCGTACTATTTATTTCGATCTACATAAGACAGCCGCGTTGGAATAGTTTTCTTGCATACGCATTGCTTGTCCCACACAACACATGCTAAGTTTCTCTGCTGCTGAGACGCGCAGTAAGTTGCAGCAAACATGGGAACCGCATGCTACGGGCACATTGCGCGTTCTGCGTTTCATTCTCCTTCTGTACAGATAACAAGTCCATACTTAACTTAATTGCCAGAGTCCAACGGCACAACAGGCCCTCCTGCTTGCATGTGTCAGAGACAGCCACTGCAGAGGGGCATGGCTCACTGTCTAGCCTTTACATCAGCACAACGTCCCATCAATAGTAGCGAAATGTTGAGTGCATAAACACTGCTAGTACATCATTCTTTTTGGATGACACTGTAGGTCTTCTCTCACAGCCTTAGATTTCGACTGGCATAGGCTAATTACATGATCCGTCGCTGCTCTAGCTAGCTCCCAGATCCATTTGAGTGGCAGCGTGAAACAGCAAATGGTGCTAGAATTTTAGGTATGTTAAAACAGAGGCCTTGCCAACTTTTGTTCTCAGCGTATTTAATGCCTTGGAGTCCAATTTACGGAAGCCCATTGGGGCCATGCGCACTTCCAAATTGTGCTAGCTACTACTCACTTCCAAATTGTACCACTTCCAAGTTGCACTACTTCCATATTGTACCACTTCCAAATTGTGCTATAACTGCAATCATGCACGGTTCATCGGCCGCGAGCTAGTCTCGTGCGCGCCCAGACCCCGCCCTCAGGACACGGGACGGAAAATGTCACAGCCACAAATAGACACACTTGAGGAGCACATTCGGAAGTATTTCCTCAAGGGATATTTGTATAGGACTATTTTGATCTACTTATGCCTAAAGAGAAAATTGAACCTCTCTCTTCGGCAGCTAAAACGAATTCTCAGAAGAATGGGACTTGTAGGGCCAAGGGCCAGAATTGGTATCTACGAGCTGCACAGTTGATCATGACTGAAAAAATATTAGTAGAATTCCATCAGATATACGTACATGAAGCATTGATCCCATATTTTGTTCTAACTACTGAACTTGATAAATTTTTCTGAGTGTATAAGAAATGAGCATAAGAGTGTGCATCAAACGTGAATACTACGTGATGATCTGGTGAGCTTCATCATAGTGTTGTGAGTACTTAATGGCTAGTAGCACAATGGCGCTTTTTGTTGAGAGGCATGTAGCAACCAGTTCTCTGAGTACATAGCATCTTTCTCTGAGTCCTAACACTCATCCTCGGTGAGGCAAAAGGAGAGTGTATATTAACTGACTTTGGTATGTATGTAATGTGTTTGTACGAGTTTGGAGCGTCTATTACCTGTTTGAAGTTGCATGATATTTGAAGTTATATATAAATTCCTATTGGAAGCTTTCTGACAGTTCGTTTGCAACTCTTTACATAATGATCGACGTGTGATGTGCGTTGGACCGCTTCCGATGTTTTGAAGTTACAACTGGAAGTTATATCCTGTGAGTTTAATGATGTTGGACAGCGTTAACATTTTGAGTCGAAAAGGCACAATGGTGCGTTTAAGTTGACTGCTTTTGCACTGCATTTCTCCGACACATATCACTCGTCCTAATTCTCAGGCACGCAACCAACCGTAAAAAGCCGTTCGTTTTCCACGGGTTCTAGCTAGTTCTTAGGCTACGGGCTACTCTTTGCAGAGCTTTTTAGCATGGCTTTGTGTAGTTGCTCCCATATCGAGTGCACGCACATGTGGTTGAGACACTCGGCCACTACGAAACGGCACGCACCTTTACAGATCCCGCACCGTGTGTATTTGGTGTGGGTGAGGCTCACCCTCCCACTGTTTCACGGTCACTGTGAGCTGTGTGGCCATGAACCATTTTTTTGTCTGGTCACGTATGCAAACAGTGCTGTTGTCTATTTTATTGTCCTGCCGTTGTGTTGAGATAGGGCTACCCATAATTGTCCTGCAGGTCAAGTCATGCGAGAAAGCCTCGACGCAGGGACCCTCTTGTGCTGCTTCTCCACGAACTGCCTTTAGTGGTGCTGCTTTTTCATTTGACGTGCAGATTCCATGTACATGGACATAACTGCAAAATGAGGACACACGAACCGACCCTGCGTAACATTTTTATTAAGCTATGTACAGAACAAACCTTGATCTTTACTAAAAGCAGGTTCCTCCCTGTCATCTCCACTGTGAGAGGACAGCAGAGAGGCCATGGCCTGTAATCCGGTAAACAATCAAACAATCACTCTTCCAGTCTCCACTCACTGCTCGCTGAGGCTCGTGCAGTCAACTGGATGCGGAAACTGAAAATGAGGCCTTGGATAAAGATACAATTTGGAAGTGAACAAATTCGGAAGTAACACAATTTGGAAGTTCGCACGGCCCCAATGGGCTTCCTTAGCAATCAAACAAGGCTTCCTTCCTTGTAAATACACTGAGAGGTTCTGCAATGTCTGAAAACCTGGGGATGTATGCCGGCGATGGTATGACGCCAGGAAAGAAACTTCCTAACCCTTGATCGGTTGGTGTCGGCCAAGATGTGATGGCTTCAACTTTTTGGGTTTCTGGCTCCATCTCTTCACCTGAAAACACATGGCCCAAGTACGAGGCCTTTGACAGTCCATTGTGCCATTTCTTTCCTCTCAGAGTTAAGCCAGCAGCTGAGAGATGCTCAAACAAAATTCGTAAATGCTCCTTGTGAAGTTGGGGTGTTCGTGAATGAATCAGGATGTCATCGCGGTATGTATATAAGAATAAAGCTCTGAGCATCGTATCCATCAGACGCTGAAAGAACTTTGCACCCCGGTAAGCTTAGATGGCATTCTGCAGAATTGATATAGGCCCATTCCTGTACCTGGGCAAAATGCTGTTTTCTCTCTGTCGGACTTATTCACTGGTAACTGCCAGTAGCCACTTTGGAGGTCGAGCATGGAACAATATAGATGAACCGGCGAGCGAGTCTTGGACTTAACTGGGAGCGGCAAGGGTAGCATCTTTTCGTTCATCTTGTTCAATCACGATAGTCAATGACACATCTCCGAATAATGTTTCAGCCGAGTTCTAGGTAGACACAAAACATCATGGTGCCGTCAGGGGCTGCGCTCTCTTCTGAGTATACCTGGTTCCATCATGGTGTTGATTGATGTTTACTCGATTTCCTGCCGATAATGTGCAAGGATGTGACGCTGGGCACCTAACGGGGCTCCTGTCGTGATAATGTAGTGCAGGCCTTCAGTTTGATGTTTCGCTTGTTCATCTTTGCATGAACAGCTCTGACAAAAATATGGCAGAGTGTTGGAGCTATAGCAGAGTGTGGTTAGCAAGCATACAACAGTGTGTCCAGCACTGCATGAAATAAAGGAGCTGGCCCCAAAGACTCAGTGTCCGCACGCTCGCCGCAAGTGTATGAGCACGCACATCAGGAACCGCCAACTGCTGACTGCTGAGTCAAGCAGTAGTAAGTAAATGGCGCCGTTATCTTGTCACTATGGAAGAGCTGCTCTGTCTGCTGCAGAGACGTATAATAACAAAGAAACGATCGCTTGGTGGCCGTGCACACCTGCGATGAATCTGGAGATGTTTCGTTTAAAAAAATCAATCCTTCAATTTGTTACGGTAAGGAGAAAGCGGTTCTGAAGAAAGAATTTTATGATGACACGAAAATCGTGAAATCACGTGCTCATGTGCTGAACTTAAGAAACATATGGGGTTTTTGAGCGCATATATAGCTAGAAATGGGCCCTTAGATAATTGCTAGTGTGTTTTGAAGGCCTAGCAAGCCATTCTCACCAAGTTTTGGGGCTTTATGTACGTTGATCACGTAAAATTTTACCCATGCCATCACTATATGGAGCATCTACCGACACTCTAATGGATAGTGTTTTGTTATCGTCATGTAGGAATCTTGCAACAATGAACTTGAGTGGTACAAGTCTGTAAAAGAGACACAAGCATCAGTTGAAGTAACATCATATGGGCAAATGGACAACATTCATAACTTTGGTTGCTATTTTATTGGTGGGAAGGGAAACGTAGCTATGGACACTATTCATGATGTAATCCATCTCACACTGATACCGGGAGAAGAGAAAGAGCTACTAAAGACTAGTTATAATCTTGATGAACTGAGAGACTTGGAGAGTAAGATTGTGCTCATCACTGGAAGTAAAGCCGGGAACAGAGCAGCTGTTGACCATTTTCTTAATGTAAGAGTAAAGATTATGTATTCTCAATCTTATGATTTTGTCCGTTTTTCTTAGACCCTTCATTCTGTGTGTAGAATAGCAGAAGTCCTGATTAAGCTGCAGCAAAGTGGGAATGTGCACTATATTGGATGGAAACTTGGTTTTACTTGCCAGGCAGTCCTAGTGGAGAAGCTACAGAAGCAGGCTAAGGAGATGGAAAAGGAACTTGAGGAGTGGAATAGAGAGGTTGCTCTTGCCCGGAAAATGTTCTATGAACTAAACTACTACACCACACGTCAACTGCTTGTGCTCCGGAGTGGGTTGAAGATGTCAGAACCATCTGCAAACCCACATCAGTGGAGACAAGTAAAAGCACTACTTGAAAGCATCTCTCGTGAAATAACCCAAACCAATTTAGTAAATGTGGTGCATGACATTGCCAAGAAGCCATTGGAAGATTTAGAAGTAGATATACATTCACCATACCTTGCTGATATGCCCGTCGAAAGTGTTATAGAGCCCTCCATAGGTGTGGCATCCTCCCCATCCCTATTGCTAGATGAACAGTTGGTCACAGATGCAAGGCCTACTGAAGCAAACATACCACATGTAGGGCTTTCAAAAGAAGACCTAAATGTTGAGCAAAAAACACACTTTACTAATATACTAGAACGCATTGGATACTGTGAATTGACAGCTTTAAAAGCCATTGAAGCAGTTGATGGTGGAGACTGGAATGATATAGAAAACTGGTTGGAGTATAATGGAGGTGAATGGGAAGAAATATTCCAGGAGGCCCAAGAAGGTGAAGAGGAAGAAGAATCAGAAGGCTCTGTAATTGAGGATGAAGGGGTTGAGACTATTTTTGATGATGAAGCTGCTCTAACTCAAGCGGAGATTGGAAACACTCTAGGTTGGTTTACAGTCATGAGTGTTCAAATATAACATTTTTGTTCTGTGGTTTGGAGCAGATGCAGATCCTTCTCGGGCTCTTCCAGCAAATCCCTCATCATCAACCCAACTCAGGTCAAGAGTTATAGTCACTTACCATCAAAATGTTGATGAAAACAATGAGGAAGTGCAGCAGTTGCTGGAGGCAGAAGTGGGCTCAGTTGAAGAGTGTATCAGAGCCATTGAAGTGTATGGAACAGCTGACGTGGCGTTCAATCACATAATGGAACTGAAAGAAAAAGGAGCTATTTTTCAAGATAGTCATCTGCCTATTATGCCTTTTGTTCAGGAAAATGCATCGGCAGGTGCTCCCCAGCCAGGAATGACTGGGTTTGTTGCAAACTATTTTCCTGTTTATAATTATGTATACGCTATCTTGCCCAGAACTCAAGATATTATAATCTCGGTGAAGAATATCGGGGAGCAATATTTGAAACTGGATGAACTTGGTTTAGTCCTTCACCAGCTAAGCCTCAACTTTCCTGGTATTTTAACAATTTTGTCCTCTGTATGTTTTTTATTTGATGTGTTTGCCTCTCCAGCTAGTGTGGAAAGAGAGAGAAAAATAACTGACCTAAAGCGTGGCCAGCCTCATCTGCTAGTTGTCCCGCCAGACCAGGTTCTGAGAGCTGCTCTGTCTCTCTACATGGAGGACAGCAGTCTACCCTTGCCCACACCTGAGGAGATGCTTATCTGCAACCAGAACACTACTTCTGAAGAGGTAACGTATAGTAATTATTTCCTACTCTATTCGAGCTTACGTATGTATGGAGTTGTTCTCTTTTTCGACCAATGTATGTATGTGTGCCTGTGGGTCAATTTCACTGCTCACAAAAGTTGAATCACTACTAAGTGCTTAATGAAAAGCAGTAAAGTGCAATACCTCAGCACACTAATGTATGCGTGTGCGGTACTGCTCATTAATGAGCTGGGGTATGAGTATGCATTGTCTCCCGCTAGTAGCTTGCAGAAAGTCTAACGTGGGCTAGTAGCTTGTGTGCAGGACTCGATGCACACCCTCTGTTGTGCCTCCGAGGTACACAGGGGGACAGATGAGGTTGGGGTAAGCCAGTGCAATTATGGATATTGGCTTTTTCGTTTGTTTTCACATAGAACACAGTGTTTTATTATTATTTATGCCCTCTTAGTTCTGAAGCCGTTGGTATCGCTCACAGGCCGCCTCGTAGCCTGTAGTGCAAGAATAACTTCCAATAGACAGACGGACCAACACACAAACCAAGTACTGTCACCCTCGCTGTGTGTGCGTGCTGAGGGTTAATTAAAAAAATAGTCATAGTAGACTTCTTTCCACATTGTCAGTTCTTACCAGCCACGTTATGTATTTGTTATGCCCAAGGTAGAATCAAGCTGAGTTTATTGTGGCTACCTTTGGTATTTATATGCAGGATTTTACTGTCATTTCATCTAGGTGGATCTTTTGTGGCAAAAGGCTGTGTGTGACCCAGACTTCAAAAGGATCTTCTGTCTAGTCCATGCTGAGAAGTTGTCCTATCAGACAGCTGACAAGGCACTTCGATCCCTCACAGAGCAAATTCAGAACAAAGGAGGTTAATTCACATATTTTATTGGCGAGCAAAGAGAGCCTACCTAGTCGCCTTAATGAGGAATATCATATGTATGTGACAGTCACTGTATGTGCCGTTATTTTCTCAATGTACATGCGCACTCGCTCACCAAAATGTGTGACATTCAGTCTAGTGGTATAATTGCATACATTGTTTCCTCCTTACAGAGTTCTCCTTGGTGATTATTTGCAGCAGTCAAGATGAGGAGAAAAGTCCGATCATATCCAAGCTTCATCTGTACCGTAGACCATATGGATTGTCTACAGACCCTACCAAGTATAAAGAGTATCTGGAGAAACACTTTGTAAATGAAGCTCAGCCATCCTACCAGCACTTGCTAGAGATGGGGATGGGGAGTGTGCACAATTTATCCGCATTAGTTGTGGATCAAAAAGGGTAATTTACATATTATAACTAAGTGCAGTAGTACTTAGTATAATAGGGATGCCATAATATTTAAAATCAACACCTTCTTGCAGATCATGTGTCAGGGTCATATCCTCAACTCGAGCTGGCATGGGAAAAACACTATATGTTACTCGAATGAAGGAGAAACTTCAGGCTGTGACCCCAAGACATAATTCCCTAATAACAATCCCAGTTCATGGTCCAATAGTAACCGTAGATTCTATGATAGAGCGTCTAGTTCAAAATGAGGACTCCTGTGATTATTCAATTCTCCACTTCGACATCCCTCCTTCGGTTTGTTAGCAGGTCACTTTGCGAAGGAGATATTACCACTTTTTAATTTTAGGTACTGTGGCAGATGGACACAGTTCTATTTTCGCTTCTTATCAACAGAGGATTGTGTGACAGTCAAGGTCGTGTCTGGAGGAACCACCCTTCACAGCTCTATGCCATTGAAGTTACTGTTTCTGAGGTAAGGTGTTCTTGGCATAACTGGAAATCACAACTTTTCAACAGGCACATGAAAATACACCTGTCCCTGAGCATCTTGTGCGAAAAGTGCTTGAGATCCTTCCAACTGTCACCTGTGTCAAGCCAAAAGATGCTCTCTCCCTCATGTCACTGGCTGTGGCAGACAGTACTAAAATAGTAATGGACCAGAAAACATTTTCTAGTGAAACCTTTCAGAGGGTCTACCAGTATCTGAGACGACATGTTGCAAACAGCAATTTAGACTCATTTGCTTTTGACCATAATAATATTGAAGGGACTCCCCACGACTGTCTCCAGATTCTTCTGAGGTTAGTGAGAGGGACTGTTTTCATTATAAAATTGTCAAGTGTTTTCTTCAGATTCTGTGGAATTAAGGATCCTTCATGGGCAGAAATACGACACTTTGTCACATTTCTGGACCTCCAGCTGCAGTCCTGTGAAAGGTCATATTTCACTAACCCAGAATTTGTTGGAGACGTGATGGATGGTTTCAAGAGCTTTGTTGTCAGATTCATGATTCAAATGTCCAGGGTAAGAACATTTCTCAGTGAAAACATTTGCTTAATGGGTCTTTGGGTATTTCTAACACTAGGACTTCTCCACGTCCTCCCTTAAAGGAGAGGTAGCACAGGAAAATGAAGAACCTGATGATCAAGAGCATGATGTTCTTCAGCAGTACGAGATTGTTGAGAGGAAGCAGTGGGAACACAGGTTATACACATTAGTTTAAGGTGGTACAGTGCAACCTGTCCTAACGACCATTTGTGTCTAACACAGCCACCTCCATCAAACGACAGCTGCTGTAGGTCGCGAACAAAAGCTCTATGCTACCTACATTGAGCAGGCACCTCCATCGAGCATCTAACGGCCAGTACACTGTGTCCCAGTATAGTGTAGCAAAATATCTTTAGCAACCAACGCAGCATGCCTCACATAGCATGTTTTTTTAGGGAGACAAGAGAAGTTTCAGACTGCTCTCACTGACGATTCACTTACATTTTGCGTACAACACACGAAAAAATATGCACAGATGAATTGCGAAATGAAAAGCACTGAAATGCAAACTCTCGGCGCATTATGCATGCATGGTACCGCTAATTGATGGGCTGGGCGATGATTATGCATTACTTGCGCGGTGTCCACCCTAGTAACTCGCAGAGAGTCTGAACACAGGCTAGCTACTAGTAGATACCATGCTGGAGTTGATACACACCCTCTGTTGTTACTTCTTGTGCCTCCAAGGTACACAGAGCGAACGGATCTGGTCGCGGTAAGCCAGTGGGATAATGCATATTGGCTTTTTCGCTTGTTTTCACTGCATATCTCTTGAACACAGTCATTTCAGGGAAAACACCATTTTCAGGCTCTCGTGGTTCTGAAACCGTTGGTATCGCCCATTGGCCACCTCGTAGCCTGTAGTGCTTGAATAGCTGGTGACAAACAGACACACACACAGACCAAGTACTGTAACCCTCACTTGAGGGTTAATTATAGAGTATTGAATCATTGTGCACAAACGTTTACCAAAAAAAGACCACCTCCATTGAACAATTATGTTTGCTTTGTCGCTCCATACAGGTTGCACACCATTGCATGGTCTGCCCATGCCACATGTGCAAGATACCCACTACCATGCCTGGTTCCATGTTTCTCTAGTGAGCCAGTAAATAGGTGTTTGCCATGGCCTTCCACTGACTCTTGTAAGCATAAAGCATGCACTACTGTAACTAGCCCGTGTCAGACTATCTGCAAGCTACTAGCCGACACCACAAGTAAACGCATACTATTAGCCAATTAGCACCACCACTCATGAAATTATAGTTCATAGCATGCCAGCCGTAGGCATGCCCAGTTCACCGAGGGTTTGCAGTTTAGTGCTTTTTTCTTGGTATTGCCCTATAGCTCTCATCCTTACTTGTTCTTCAACCGAGATGGAATGAGTTTCACATTCGTTGGATTTGTTGTGACTAACCATGGTGACCTGTGTGATCCAACTCAACGTGGAAGAGTTATAGAAAAGGGGATTATGACCCAACAGCTCTACACTGGTCTAAAGGCACAGAGAGTTGACCTTTATGAAGATTACCGCCAATGGCCTAAGGATGTCATGATTCAGAAGATCTCCACAGTGATGGGTATAGAATGGCCCCATGATCCAGACCCTACTTATGTGCTAACAGTTGATAACCTAATCAAAATCTTGGCCATTCAGATGAGATTCAGGTTTGAGTAAGTATATTGTGAATTAATGATTTATTTCTAAACATACATAGGTGTAGTATTCCAGTGGTGATAATGGGAGAGACTGGCTGTGGGAAGACGAGACTCATCAGGTTCATGTGTAACCTTGCCTCTCAGGGTAGTGGCCAAAGGAACATGCTGATATTAAAGGTATACATCGTTGTGTGTTTCCACTCCATGGAGTTTTTGGAGGGTATGATAATGAGGGAGAGATTGAGCGATAATTCCAGCGTTCGGGGCCAGATTGTGTCCAGGAACTGTAGGTGTAACCAGCATTTTGAATTTTTGGTGGTTCAGGTATTAAAAAGACATCAGGCAATCTTCATGGCTCTGCCTAGTGTTCTGGGTATGTGACCGGTAAAATAGGCTTCTTAAAACAGCCGTTACGCAAGCACTACCCCTCGCTGTCTACATATTTTGTTTGTGAATATGCTTGTTTTCACCAACAGTATATAACACAGGGTCAAACACTGCATTAGTGTAATGGCAGATTCCACACGAGTGTGTGCATCCCCCACTAAAAGATTTCCTATTTGCATCTTTTTACCTGTAGTTTTTATGTAAGGATTGCTAATAAGGAGGTGAATTCTGTGAACACTTCTGTGAACACTTCAAGGATTGTGTAACTTAGCTACCTCATACATATGTAACCCCTTTTCTCTTAAATATCTTGTAGCATTTAAAAATTGGTGTGCGTACCAAAATTCTTGCTCCATGTATGTAAAATAGATTGTATCTCCATAAGGTGCATGGTGGTACAACAGAGAAAGACATTGTTAGGTTTCTGAGAAAGGCAGAGGAGACTGCTAAGGAGAATGGGTCAAAGAAGCTTGACACAGTTGTCTTCTTTGATGAGGCAAACACCACTGATGCCATTGGACTGATAAAGGAGATCATGTGTGACAGGAGAGTCCATGGTCACCCTGTCTCAGAGGATCTCAAATTCATTGCTGCATGTAATCCCTACAGGAGGTAAAACTATTTATACCAAAGTGTTTGGAGGTAACAACTTTGTACACAGGCATACACGGGACATGATAAAGAAATTATGCTCAGCTGGCCTAGGGTTCTATGTGAGGGAGACAGAAACACAGCAGAAACTAGGTAAGCAAGCCAACTTACTTGCTGGATTTGCCCCAATTTTCGAGATGTTATTGCTGAAATATCTTTGTAATCCCATCGATTTTGCATGACAACGAATTATGAAAAATATGTAATTTAGAGCATTTATCTTATCCGACTGGGTGTAATCTGGACTTTATTTGAGATGTAACCAGTAAATGGCTTGTTAAAACACCCCATGTTTTACAATGGCTTGCACGCGTGCACAATTTATAATCTGCATGGACATAAGGACCACTGACTGGTGTTCCAGCTCCACTTGACTGTATCACACGAGACAGGAAAATTCGAAACATTTCTCCTCACTTCAAAACTCCATTCACCAAACTGAGAGTTTACGTCACCATTGTCTTCAACATGCGCATTTCTAGTAGTGTTTGTAAACTTGGTGACCGTTCTTGCCCTGCAGGAAAGATCCCCCTGAGAGAGCTAGTGTACAGGGTGATTGACCTTCCTCCCAGCATAAGACCATTGGTCTATGACTTTGGTCAACTCAACACTGACACTGAGAGAGACTATACCACCCAGATAGTCCATGACCACGTTAGGCTTTAATTAATTTTGTATGACAAGCCTTTATAATCACATTCTCAGGTGGGAAAGCACACAATTCTGTCGCAGCAGAACGCAGGAATAATACCTGCCATAGCTCGAGTGTTGGCCTGGTCCCAGATGTATATGAGAAAAAGAGAGGTTCTACTACTAACAATAATAAATGGTACTATGTGTATGGCTTATATTTTTGTAGGATGAGTGCAGTTTTGTAAGCCTAAGAGATGTTGAAAGAGCAATGATTGTTTTCGTCTATTTTTTTGAGAAGATGGCTCTTTTCATGCCTCTTATTAACAGGAAGGAGATGGTGAGGTATCGATTTGTATACTGTGAAAATTTCATTTTAATTTTTACAGGGAGAAGCGCAGAGAAATGCTCTTGCCCACCATCATGGAATACCAGTTCCAGTTACTCCATCTTCGGGTGTTACTTGTCTCACTCACTCCCTCATTCTTGCTGTCAGTGTCTGCTATCATGCCAGACTTAGTGACAGGACTGAGTTTGAGCAGAGAGTTGCTCATGAGTTTACTGCACCACTTCGACTGTCCGGTGGAGCAGTGGAGTTTCAAAACATTATTAGATGGTAACTTTCAGCATAATACTGTGAACCCCTTGTGCACATGTTTATAATATACAGTACAGCAAAGTTTGCGATGCCTTGTGCATGTTAACATGAATGCAACCACCTGATCAGGTCCCAGGAGGCTCTGTTAGAGAGTATGGTCGTTGGAGAAAACATTGCCCACAATGCTGCTCTGAGAGAGAATGTGTTCATGATGGCAGTGTGTGTGGACCTGAGGATTCCTCTGTTCCTGGTGGGGAAACCTGGCAGCTCCAAGTCTCTGGCCAAGTCCATTGTGGCTGACTCCATGAGAGGACAGGCCTCTCAGGATAATCTCCTCAAGTCCTTCAAACAAGTACTCATTATGTTGTGAATGTGCTCAAGTGTTAATTTTTCTTCTCAGGTCCATATGTTCTCCTACCAGTGCAGTCAACTCTCCACTCCTGAAAGTGTAATAGAAGTGTTCAACACAGCCCAGAGGTTCCAGGTGGACCAGGACACCACCAAATATGTGTCAGTGGTGGTGCTGGATGAGGTGGGACTGGCAGAGGACTCTCCCAACCTCCCACTTAAGGCTCTTCACCCACTATGGAGGATGGGACTGAAGGCTCTGATGAAAGTGATGAGGTCTATTATTATTTACTACTGCAGCATGTTTTGATTTGATATGAATACGCACTACACGTGTAGGTTTTGACTCGGGATAAGCGTGTAGCATTTATTGGACTGTCTAACTGGGCACTGGACCCAGCCAAGATGAATCGTGGGGTAATGGTGACTCGTGGAGACCCAGATATCAATGAACTGGTGCTCAGTGCTCAAGGAATCTGCCAGAGTGAGACGAATGTCAAGGAGAGACTCAGTAGTTACTTTGAAATACTGGCCGAGGCCTACCATACAATTTGTGAGAACCAGACCAGACAGTTCTTTGGCCTCAGGGACTTTTACAGGTGAAGCAACAAATAAGGCATGCACATATCACTATTCACTTACCAATCGGATTCACCATGTGAAAACAAGATAAAATAAGCACTGAGTATAGCAGGGTACATCCTAAAAACTATTTACGCAACATTTTCCCCAAACGAGTATTATAAGATGCATAGTTAAGCATGGAGGATAGTGCTCTACGTTTAATAATGGCGGTGCGGCCGAGATAATCACAAAGCACGGGGTGTTTATAGCCTGTTTATATACCAGCCTCGAGTACGTACCTTTATGAGTGTACAGCACATGTGATTTTATTGTACTGTGGGCGATTCAAAGAAACAAAGTTGCTGAGCAGGGGTGTCCTTCCTTGCCATTCAACACTACTCTGACTCAGTGAGAATGTGCCGCAAAGGCCAAGATATGATGCCAGGGGTAAGAAAGTTGGGCTGGTTCATCGCAACGTCCTGGGAGAGAAAGCTATTGTGCGGCTACGTCACTGACATGTCCCGCCACTAGCCTCACAAAGCTGTGCTAACTCACCTCCTTGCCCTTAGATACACTTGTGGTAGCCGCCTCTCCCTTCACTGCGTCTAATGAGCCCTGTTTTGCAGCCGTTCGTACTACGTTTTGAAAACTATTGTATGAGTAATACTTTGGTTTATTATCTAAAGCACTGACGACGCATTTGACCTCCCATGCAAAGTACAATAAAACTGCATAATAATATGCTAAAATACTCATCATATAACTCTCTCACCTCCAGTCTGATCAAGATGCTGTACTGGATGTGTGAGAAAACAAATATGCCTCTCACTGGACCTCAGCTGGTCCATGCCATCAAGAGGAACTTTGGAGGACTGGAAGAGAGTGGGGTTGACCCTGAGAAGATATTCATTGACAAGCTGCCAAAGAATATACATGATCCACCAGATCTAACAACTGTTGATCCTCAAGTAAATTTTTTTATTCTCATAAGAAGTCATTTTTATGTTCCACATTTAGATCTGGGAATTTGTATGTCCTGATTTCTCACAACGTGGCCTTATCAAGACCAGCCTAAAAACGAAGGAGACATCATGGCATGGGTATGCAATAACTAACATTGGCATGCCAATTAGAGATGTTTTGTATGGGGCAGCCTCACTCCCTTCCCTCTTACTTTAATGTTAAGGTACACAATGTTGTTACAAGAATTCAGCTTCTCTAGTGGCCTAACTGGCTTCATTTTTAGACAACGTGCACAGATATCAACTTCACATCGCAGTGCTGTGTGATGATATAATGTTTTCAATGCCATTTTCGAAGGCAATATCCACATGTATGGTCGGCAAAAGAAATAATCTCATTAAATGCCATTGTGCACTCGGAAGGATTGTGAGATTGTTTTTCTCACAGAACTGCGTACGTATGTGTTAGGCTAGCTGTCTTTGGCAGATCCTCTCTTGGTTAAGCTGAATCCCCACAAAAAGTGCATTTGCTTACTAGTGAAAAACTGTTATGGACAGGGAGAGCCGGTATCTACTCTTTCTGACTGAGAACTATGCTGCACTGGAGATCCTGAAGCAATACCTGCAGGATCAAGAGGGTGGACATCCAATACCGAGTTTTTACTCTACAGAGTCTTCTCTTGAACCATGGGAGATGGAGCCTTTTGTACTATTTGGGAGCAGTTTTCCTAAGGACAAGGAGTACACCCAGGTTAACTTTTATTTCTTCCACATCTCCTTAATTCATACATGTTATATCCAGGTTTGTCGAAACATTAACCAGATCAAGATTTGCATGGAAATTGGGAGAACTGTGATCCTACTGAACTTAGAAAATTTATATGAGAGTCTCTACGATGTTCTTAACCAGGTATTGAAATACATTGCACTTTAACGTAGTATAACCAAACTAGACCACTCAAATGTGCTCAGCAAGTATAGCATGTAACAACAATTTAATGTTAAATTTCTACCTTGTACATTAATTTTTAACATACCATCTTCTAAATAGTATTACATCCATCATGGTGGCAACCGATACGTTGATCTTGGACTTCAAACGCACAAAGTCAAATGCCGTGTTCATCAGGAATTTAAGTGAGTAGTATGTATTCGCCCATTTTTTCGATGTTTTAAGCTTTATCTTTGTGTCCCAGACTGATTCTCATAGCTGAGAAGACCACAGTCTATGAAGACTTTCCTACTCCACTTATCAATAGACTTGAGAAACACTTTGTGCTGTACTCCTCAGTGTTAGAGGACTGGCAGACAGACACACTAAAGGATATAAAACAGTGGATTATGGACTTCTCACATGTGCAGAGCCCAAATTCAAGGTGAATCATTTACACTATCTCACAACATTCTAAGAGCTACTGAAGGGCCCCATCTATAGAATACTTCAGTGACCTTCACAAAATGTTGTGAGAATGACTTCATGGTGAAGGACTGATTAACCCTCGGTGTGCATGTGCAGCGAGTGTTACTGTAGTTGCCGTGTGTGTGTGTCTGTCTGTCCGTTCCACGACATCTCACTTGACAAGCCATCAATCGTTCCACAAACAATACCACGTATTCAGCGTCATATATAGGTTGAAAAATATGTAGGATTTTCTCTGAAACTGCTGTGTTCGATGGGACACTACAAACGCTGGGCTGTGGACTCTGGACTGGACTATGGACTGGCTTTGTACTGAAGAGTTTCAAACATGGTAGTGTGGGCCACTCTTGGGATCCCTATCTTGTCAGGATTGCCTCCAGTCTTGGTCGTTCGTCAGAGAAAAGGAGCTGGCTATGTAACTAGGCCAGTCTACCTGAACCATGTTACCATGTTTTACACTGACTACGACTCAAAACTTGGCTAGGATAAGGACCCTGCAGCCATCTCTGGGGCAGTCCGAAGTGTTGACTATGACAGTTATTGTGTCAGATTTTAGACTATCCATAAAGTGCCATCTCTCAGGTTAGGACTGCTCCATGCAACACAGATGATGACTCCACTGACTGCTCATAGCCATCGTGACTAAAGTCCAGCTTCAATACAGTGCCAGACTTTTTATACGCAAACTCTTCATGTATAAGCGAGTCCATAGTCCAGTCCATGGTCCAGTCCAGAGTCCAGAGTCCAGCTTTTGTAGTGTCCAGCGTTCGATTGTTATGGCGTGAAACACGAGCGAAAAAGCCAATATACTAATTAGAGCAAGCTTACCTCGAGCAGGTTCGCTTGCTCTGTGTATCTTGAAAGCTCAAAAAGTCACAACAAAGTGCGAGTATCGACTCCCGCGTGCTATCTACTACTGTAGCAGCCCGTGTCAGGCTCTCCTCGAGCTACTAGCGGGAGACCACGAGTAAACGCATACTAATAGCCTATCGCGCACGCACAGTTCGCCGAGGGTTTGCACTGCTTTTTCATTTTTCTGGGTCTCAAACTAGATTCACAGAGAGTGATTCCTTTGTGGGGTACAAGAAGGATGTGGCAGCAGCAGTAGTGTTCCAGGCCTCCAGTCAGTTGAGGAAGACCTGTAGGAGGCTGAGGAGAGAGGCCACAAGTAGACGGCAGCTGTGGGAGACTGCCTGGGAAGCTGGTCTGCTGGGAGACTGTGGTTTGGAGCAGCTAGCCATGGAACAGGAGGGCTCTGACGTTTGGAAAGAAGCGGTATGAGACAGTATGGTACATCCTTGGCAGTAATTATTGCACTGGATAATCACCCATTTTGCTGACTATTAAATGCATGACCAGGTGCTTTTGTCATATATAATTGATAATTTACCACCCTAAAATGCTTTTCATACTGCCTGTAGAAACTTTTACAATGCCAGATTGCGGGGCTACCAAGTATGGACAGAACAGTTTACACCATTGCTATACAGTAATTTATAGTTAAGACAGCGAGTCCGTGAAATCTAAGCACATTAGAAGCCTGGGGGCCTTTGCGTTGTGGCTTTCTGAGCGTAGCAACAACACTACATAAAGGGCCCGAGGGCTCTTAATGCGTGCAGATTTCATGGACGAACTGCGTAATAGATTCTACAATATTTGAAGGCACCAATTTAAGCGTGAGTGTTAGTACGCACTCACGCATGAAAACGTAAACGTCTCTATTAGTAACTCACATTGTGTTTACAAAGTGGCCACAGCGCCGTTTCCCCACGGAACCCACGCACGCGGAAAAACAAGTGTGCATCATACTTAAGGAATCTCGTCTGTTCAAATCTATGCGCGTTAAAAACCCTCAGGTCCTTCATGTAGCATCCCCGCTGCGCTTGAAAGGCTACAACGCAAGGGCCCTTGGGCTTTTAATGCATGTAGATTTCACAGACTCGCTGTCTAAGTATTTATTAACCCTCGGCGTGCATGCGCAGCAAGGGTTACTGTACTTGGTCCGTAAGTTTTTCTGTCTGTCTGTTACCACGTTTTCTGCAACCACGCGCAACGAGACAACGAAAGAGTCGATACCAAAAGGTTCAGTGCTATACCAGCTTGATTTTAAATTTGGCAATTTTTGGAAAAGCAATGCGTTCAACAGTTATGGCGTGAAAACCAAGTTAACAAGCCAATATGCTAATTAGTATTCCCTTATATACCTCTAGGAAGCAAGAAATAAACGCATGCGTGTGTTACACTGGCGGGTTGCGCACAATGATCACGTGTTTTTCACCGTAAATAGCACCGTTGAGCGGCCGTGCCGTGGTTTTATTTTTGTGAGGGCAGCGCTCGAGGATACTTCTTGTCGTTTCTGGTGCAAATACCTTTTTGAGCTGGAAATCAGCACTCGTACATTCCGCGCGTTGTAGGCAGAGTGGACTGACCGATGGAGAGCGATAGACGCCTGAAGAAGGTATGTCCGCAGTGTGACACAACAGTACTCGGCGGCGTGGAACCACGCATGTGATACATAGCCCAAACCACCATGCGTGGTTCCTCGCCACCGAGGGTTTTGCACTTTAGTGCTTTTCATTAACTGTTGTAATAATGGGAGTGTATTGTGAGCAGAGTGAGCCAGGCTAGTATTTGGACATTGTGATTATCATTATGTATAAGCTCTTAGAGCACATGCGTTGAATACTGTGCAGAATGTTTCCACAAGATTTTCTCATTAATCTCCATTCATGGTTTTTCTGTCTGTAAATTATGCAGCCAATATATTCCAGCAACCTCTGTATTTTGAGAGCTCTAGGGTGACCCATCACATTGCCTCCAACCTAAAATACTTAATATCAGTATGACTTCATTAAAAATTCAGTATTTTTAAAACCATATTAGTAATGCAAAACAGTAAAAGATTAGTCCCCTTTAGATTGTCTATAACTCAAGTTTCGCTGTCGTCTGCACTGTTTCACTGTAACAAGCAATGAATCATCAAAAGTAGCAACTTCGCAGCATTTTCCTGTTTTGTTTAAGTGGCATCCAATTAAAGCTGTGACAGTTTCCGGGGAAACGGATGAACGAAAGTCTGTCTTGATTCTACGAACTAGGCTGAAAACTCGTTTACAGATGTCGGAATTGCAAGAAGGTGAAGGGCCAGTGCAGAGAGAGATTTGCATATTTATGGACCCCATCAGGGATTTTTGGCTACGAACTTTCAACCAAAAAGAGGCAGCATCACAGTTCTCTTCATGACAAATTTGATCATCACACACAAATTCACGATGTTCGAGCTTAGTAAGTGCCTTGTCGAAATCAAGTGAAAATTTCTCCTCTATCAAGTCAAACACTGAAGTTGGCATACTCACACTTTTCTCAGGGTCAAGAAATGCTGCACTTAACAATTGAGACATAAAATCGAACACTTCCAACTGTTTCTTCACAAAAAATTCATAGAACTTGACAACTCCTCTGAAAAAGTTTTATTACTGACTCACTCTCATTGTCTTTTAGATGCAAAACAAGTGCAGTAGTATCATCTCCAATGAAAACTTGGTTGTCAGGAATGTGGTGTAGTCAATCTTGGTCAGATCATAGGTCTTGATACGGATGATGTTTGGATCAATAAAAAAAAAGGTAACACTGTCTTCAGAAGTCGCTCACTTTCCCCAAGAACTGTTGTGGATAGTAGCAGCTGATGATGTCTGAAAAAATACATTGAATTTTTCAAACACAGGCAACACATTTGACAAAAAGAGAAGCCAAGGCTGTCAATGGATACTTCAAGACTCTCGAAACCATTCTGACTTTTCCAGCCTTTTCAAGATCCGAATGGCTAAAAAAATAGGAGCACAGTGGTTCCCACATTTGCAGTGTGCGCTTAATAGCGCGTCCTAAAAACAACCATCGTGTCTGACAGTGCTTTACAACAGACTTTTGCTCGGTGGTACAAAACTCAGCATACTCAACAAGTGAGGCTACACGTTTAACACTATGCTGAAAATGGTAATACATGTCAACAAGAAGGTCATCAACCTTCAAAGGTAGTGCTTTCACAGCTGATTTTACACATAGATCTACAACATGACAGATGCAATGTACATTGGCTGTTTTGCAAGCAACTTTGCTATCACCCCATTCTTTGCACCCTTCATGACATTACAAGTATCAGACGTAAAGCTTAGTAAATTATCAAATGATAAATGGTATTTTGAAAGTGTTTCCTCAAGACTACAAAGTATACCATCAGATGTTAGATCAGTTATACCAATATATAGTATCCAAATGCTGTGTGACAATTTTCCCATTCTCCGGCTCAAACACTCGAATCAGTGTAAGTAGCTTTACCGAATCACCTCTTTCATTGCTCTCCCTTCGTGCTAGCGGTAATGAACTTGCCTTAAATTTCCTCGCCAGGACCACTCGTAATCTTTCTTTTCTTTCTCATAGGCAATCCGCTACCTTTGGTACCGCTTGTAGACTCGGTCAACTCGTGTTCCGAGCTCAGCGTTGAGGAGCAGCAATGGAGCAGATTCGCTTTCACTGGACATGACTCGCATCAGTGTGTATGCCGATGCGAATAAAAAGCCCAGGGACTGGGCGATACCAATGGCTAGAGAACTACACAGCCTGAAAATAAAATCGCGAATTTCATGAAACGACTGTGTTCGAGAAATGTCATGAAAAAAAGCCAATATTATGCATAATTGCACTGGGCCACCCTCGACCTGATCCGTGCACCTTGGAGGCACAGGAAGGCACGATAATTAAATAGGGGCTAATTTTTACCAAAGATAAAACTAAACAATTGGGCCCAGTACAAATAAAGTGTATTTTTTTACTAGCGTGTACTTATAAATTTAGCCCTTACTTACGTACTACCACATTCTCTTTAACATTTCTGGTTTTTGCATGCATGGCATACTGAACAAATCAAAGCCAAGTTTGCTCAACAACCTAAATAAATTCTTGTTAACTACAGCATGAAAAAACATGTTTATAGCATACTATATGAGAGGAAAAGAAAGAACCTTAAACCCCCCCACCCAAATTAATAGACTCATAGAAAAATATAAAAACTCTGAAACTTACGCAGTACAACGATGCAACTTAGATAGAAAAAACGTGCGATTACTCTAAATAACGCACAACATATACACGTGTAACAAAAACATAAAAATAGAAATGTCAGACAATAACATATACACAGAAATAGAGAGGCAGGACCCTGGGTGCCCAGCCTTGAGAAGGTAGGTTAAAGAGTTTTTTATGGGCCCAACTCTCCCTACACACCCAGTGTCTCAACCTCCCTTACACATAGTTAGAGAACAAAAATAGATAGAGATTATATACAAAAGAACGGCAACTACAGGATAAAATCAACAGCCAGTAGAAAAATAGAAAGCCTCAAAGGATTAATAGACTCATAGAAAAGTATAAAATCTCTGAAACATACGCAGTACGACGATGCAACCCAGATAGAAAAAAACGTGTGATTACTCTAAATAATGCACAGCATATACACGTGTAAGAAAAATAGAAATGTTAAAAAAATAGAAATGTTAAAAATAGATTTCCAAAAATAATATGTCAACATTCTATCTATGCGACTGAGGAACCTATCCATTGCTGGTAGACATATACCATCCTCCACATGTTTGTGTATGCTGAAGCTATATTTATTCATAATTTGTGCATGCTTTTATAAAAGGACCTGCACCAATCAGAATATCTGTATCCTTGATGAATCAGTCGCTCCGTTAGTTTGAAACGTCTCAACGTAAAATCCGAGTAATCACTACATATTCTACCTATACGTACTAATTGGGAAATATAGACTCCATATGCCAGTCCAGATGGAATATTGGAACTGAGACATGGAAAATTTACAATTTTGAAGTTAAAATCATCCCGTTTATCATAATTATACTGCTGTGGAATATTTCCCTTTTTTTATAGTTATAATTATGTATACCTACGTAAGTATAACAGTGTTGTTGGTGATTCAGATGTTGTTTTTTTTAGTTTAAGCTCCTCTGTGTGTATGTCATCAATGGCTGAATCAAATGATGTGTTATTTAATGTCAGCAAATCATGTAATTGTTAAGCCCACCACACACAAGAGGCTCTTCATTTTCTCTCGGTATAGGTACTGCTGATAGGGCAGTTTCTACTGCTACAAACCACTCCACCTGACGCACTTGTCAGACTGAAGAAGAGCAGACTCAAAGAAAAGGCTGAGAAGTTGGGCAACGTCTACAAAACCCTACACCATTGCTCTATTGATGAATTTCTCACTTACCACTTGACAACATGAGAACTCAAGAGGAGGCCTACTCTTACAGGTCACTGTTACGGATATGAATTTGCAAGTCCAATGATTATATTCTGTGTGCTTTCGCAGGTAACTACCCACAGCCACCTTCTATCTTCAGATGAAGTAGAACGAACTAAGTGATTGTTTGCAACTAAGTGCAAACCCAGATGTCTATTCCTTTATACTTCAAGAGTTTGACACTGAACTAGACTTCACCAGTAAAGTCAGGTATGCATAACTCAATCCTCATCAAGTTCACCCTTTCCAACGCATCGCCCCCTCATTAGCCTATATAATCGTCAGTGCAGTATAGGGTCTTTGTTCTACACCCTATTAGTAGGTCAAAGCATCAACGCCATGTGGATAGTTTAGTGGGATATATGTTACAGTACCGCATTGGGCCCTATTTACTATAGCACTGCACACAAAAAGCCTTGCTAGTCAGAATGGCAGCATAATAATTATGCAGCACCCCGTCATTCTATGTCAAAAACTTGTGATTGTTCCCTGGGCCATAATGCATGGGATTTATGACACAGCAGTGCAAACAAATCCTTCTCTGGTCAGAAGGGATGCTGTTGAAGTGTGGTGTTAAAATTTGCCATTGTTTTGCCAATCAATTAGTGATGCTGGGCATGCGCAGTGTGCCGAGGGTTTGCACATTAGTGTTTGTCATTTACTCTAGTTGATATATTTTGCCATTTTCCAGCCCACTCTTTGTAAGGAGCAAAGACACTGACAAACAATGTCTCCTCATCATCCAGTGTGACTCTGGCCACATAAATGGTGACCTCATTGCCTGTGCCCGCTACCGCATCTTTGACATGCGAACCAAAGCTGTCCTCAACAGATCAAGGTTCAGTGTCATCACACATGTAGTCTTTATCATACACCTTCCAGTTCAAGTTGCTAACTCCACTTTTGTTGGATTCCAAGGGGATCCCTGGGTCTCTTGTCACATTGACCAACTTAGACCTAGTGATAAGAATGCATTCACCCTTGAGGTGGCCCAGGGTGTTAGTGTTAGCCAGCTTTTCTATGGAGGACTGGAATATGCAGGGCCTGAAAGGCAAACATCAGAAATATCCAGCAATATGGAAGATTTGGCCTTCGAAAGACTTTCCAGCGTAGAAGAAGGGTTAGAGGAAGCAATTTTCGAAGGAAACAAAGAGATAAGAGAGAACATACACCTAAGGGAGCAATTGGGCCAAAAAGAAGACAGGCTGGAAATTGTGGATATTGAAGGAGAAACTGACAGTAATGAAAGTAATTCATCTACTGGAGTTGCTAATTTAGAGGCAAGATTGGAGAGCAGTGGAAGTGACAAAGTACATGAAGATGAGTCCTTTTATGACCCTCCTAAACTGCCGTCATTATCAAGTGCCTCAATCGGGACCAAGGCATTTTCTGATGTACACACACAATGTGTTCGTCTTAATAGCTGTATCCAGGCTGCAGTGTCTCGTCTCCAGGATACCACTCTGAGCAAACAGAGAGCAGCAGAGAGAGTGCGGCTCCTTATACAGGTTATCCCATCCAACCCCATCTTTCCCCTAGGTGAGACAGTTCTCAGTGACAGATATAGTTTTACAGAAGGCCAGGGCAACCTTTGGTGGATCCCTGAGCTATTTAATAGTAACTGAGCAGCCTATAATAGTCTTCACCTTCAAATAATGATCCTTGTCACTAGAAACATGCACCAATGAGTACTCCCATATGCACGCACATTTCTATTACCTTGTTTACGCTGTTAATGAACTCATGGTTGCTTGTGACACTGTCTATATCCAGTAGTACATTGCATTGAGGAACCCTTCTGTTGTAACATCTGAGTGCGTCACACAAAGCAAGTGGTGATCTAAGACCATGCCAAATATAAGGCTGCAACTGTATCAAGAACTCTTAAGTCTAAAGCAAAGTTTTTTGCCTGGTAGTTCACAGTGAACAGCAGGGGAAACTCAGCGGAGGTTGTGAAGCCCTAACTGGAAGTTTCTATATTAATTAATCTCCTCCATATACTGGCAATGCAACTGCAGCGATTCGACTGTTTCTAACGGCTGCTGTCTCTTCAACATTTGTGAACTGCAGTGCAGTTTTTCGAGTAGTGTGTGTAGAGAAGAGCATGCAGTATTCTAATCAGTGAAGTCCATTGCCCTAAGTTTGTTGTGATACTATTTTTATGCATAGAATCTGGGACATTCTACACGAATCTTGTGTGTCATATTCATCGTATGCTCGAGAGACGCGAGAGAAGTCTATCAGGATGATGACTGGGTCTCAAAGAAGCCATGGACATGCACAACTTGCGACAGGAGGAACTTTCATGAATGCTCTCACCAGAAATTAGACGACTTATTACTCCACGTCTAGCAGAGAGATTATTGCCTTTGTGGACAGGGGTTGTATCTGAGTTACTGCAGCCTACAAACAGTCCTCTTTCTCAGTTCTGGCTTATGGTATTTGCTTGTAAGAGGGCAGAAGAAGCACTAAAGTACACTGACATGGTTGGGGGTCAAAAAGTTAATGTGAATCCTGATAACACTAATTGTGCGTTTCTTTTCCTGGCTGGTGGGGAGCTTAGTGAGCATACTCATGGGACAGTGCACAGCGCACTGGAGGTATGTGTATGTTCAGTGGAAATACATATGTGTAGCATGTGATATGTTGCAGTTCCCATAAAACAGCTAATGCACAAGCAGTTGTGTGTCATTCAGTGGCCAGACAGTCGTGGGAGAGGTCTGCAGAGCATCAGGAAGGACGAGCAGTGAAGAGCTCTACCAAGAGATATGTTCATGACTTTGTGCGCCGTGTGCATAACTGTACTCACAAAACGAAAGGAGATAGTCAATGGAAGACAGGATGTTAATTCATCTATGGAACTTGTATATTATTTTCTGCTGAACAACAGTTGATCCAAGGCAGTCTGCACAGCCTATTATAAGGAGCCCCGACTTTGGCCTCGTGGCGGAGGTGTCGTCGTGATGGGGATGCAGCAGGACATGTGGTGTACAGAGAAGGTTGTGAAGGTATCGACTGGTGAGGCACCGCTCACATCCACGGTGCACGGTGTTATAGACGGTCGGTTCAACAGTTGGAGAGGACACTGGCATCGACTAACTGTATGGTAAGAGCTACACCTCATCATCGGAACTAGAAGTAGCTATTGAGTGTTTCTCTAGATGACGGGATAGGTGTCGAGGTTACGTGTGATCCTCTTTGAGAATTTACAACATGACAATTAGTGTTAGTATAGAGATTACATGACGTGTTTTTGTGGGCTAAAGGTCTACTGCGATTTTGGTAGCTAATACGATTATGATCATTTGTCATTCATACATTTTGTCAGTAGTACAATGGTTGATTCACCCAAACTTGTCTTTTGAAAGAAAAAAAACTACAACTGTGTTTGATCATTCAAACCCTCAGCGCTCATGCGCCAGGGGTTGTGGGGGTACTTGGTTCATAAGCAGTCAGTAGTCTGTCGGTGTGTCTGTCGGTATGCATGTCTGTCGGTCCGCTTGCTCTCTCGCATCTCGCGCGAGGACACGTGACAAAAACGGGCACTAGATTATTGAAGTAAGTATGCTGAGGGAAAACAAAAATAAAAGAGCAGTTTATCTTTTAGAACGCTTTTTGTGTAACGCGGCCAGGTCCGCTATTTTTTCTTATCAAGAACTGACACATGCAGCGTTTTGTGATATATGCATATGAGGATGCCAGCTTTGGCTCACGCAAAGGGTGCTACATCTTAATGTTGCGAGTTCGATTCCGCAATTTTTCTATGCCATTTTTCTTACAATCAAAGTGTTGGTAAAAGAAAGTATTTTGCTTTTTGAGACACTGCGGAAAATTGGTTGCGCGGAGGGTTTGCACTTTCGTGATTCCCTATTGTAGGTGCTACACCTATATGCGGTGAAGAAGTTCGTAATGGACTTGAGCACCAATTCAAGGCAAAAAGGTTGTCGCCGTATTCGAGGACAAGCTCTGAGGTGTGGCTCAGCTATGTAGGGAAGTTCGCAATAATGCCATTGAGTCCCACAATCAGTCGTCCAGTCAACCACCCTCTTGCCACTTAAAAGCAAGGTAAGGTAATTTTTCATGGCCCCATGTCAAATACTCTATGTATCTTTGCTGTAGCCTTCAATGGCATCAGATCAGAGGCATGCAGCTATTAGTGAAAATGTTCTTTAAACCATTCCACATGGTGGTTATGCCAGACAGCTCTACTGGTACTCCCGTGTTGAACACGTTACACTGTATACCCTTGAGGCTGCTTTTCTTGCCATCTGTTCGGCTTTGCGCAGTGCCCGGCCTTTCTTAGTCGGCCTCAACGGTAGTAAAAGGATAAAGAGTTACTAACAACATTATGCAAGGCACCTTGAACCCTACCTTACAGTGAGTGCATCTATCCCCTTTCGTGGTGTTCGTAACCCTGTACGGGTCTTGCAGGCGGTCCAGCGGAGCGCAGCAACTAGGGCTACCGGTAGGACGCGTTGTGTACAAACTTTTTCTCGAGGGTGGTTGGTGGTGGGTGTTACTGTGCTTGGCCAATCCAGTGCCTGAGATAAAACGTATTATGATGCTTCTGGACATGTCTTCACAGCGCAAATGGTAGTAGAGGAGGGGGGAGGCCGGAGGAGGGAACGGGAACGAGGACCCGGAAACTATCCGTTTCAGGATTGCAAGTGGAGCATAAACAGCCACATTATCCGATCAGTCCTTCTCCCAAATACCGGAACACGCGTCTGTACTAAACAATAGTATGAGCCTCATGGTTAACTTGCTTGTTCCAGGGTGTGGAAGTGACGTTATACTTCTTACAATTTTTCTTGCCGCACTGGAAAACGTTTTTAAAACCATTGAAGTCCTTCTTTAAAAAGATGTCCAGAGGGGCCCTGATTAGAGGACGGGAGTGGACCAAGAAAAATAGCCTACTTGTACCCAGGTGCGTGAGGGACCCCTAAAACTAAAGTAAAAGTAATAGATGACGCTGAGAAACCACCCTATCGCTCAATTCAAGTAGCAGCAGTGCCTGATTCCGGGCGTGGTCAAGTGGGAATTGTGGATGGAAAGGAAGTAACGTTCCGGTTTTTGGAGACTCAACCGCTATTAACACTAAAGCTGCAAATATGGCGGCTCAAAGTCTTTCAATTCTTACGCTTCTGGCCCATGGATCCAGGATGTACTGATGCTCGAACTTGCCTGACGAGGGTGTTTCAGCAGAGCCGTCACCTGACTTAGAAATCAGTTGCATTGTGTTGACCCCGTATCCATATTCCTAGGGTAGTCGTTGGTTCGTCGGTCTGGCTGTCCTACTACTGACTCTCACATCTTGCAGTATGCCCTTCAACAAGTACATAAGGCAAAACTTTCGGAATCGTTACCTAATAAGTTAGAGGATTTTTACTTGGCGGCCATCACCACATGAGACACATGTGTATCATTTTGTGTAGTACTATCCTTGGGATGCCATGGTGGTACTCTCACATAAGCACCTTTACGTATAAGTATAGCTACCTCGATATAACCCCCTACATGTATGGACTTAGGAGGATGTTGTCGTGGCTGATAGGTGTTGACACTGTGGGCATGGTTTTCACTGACATGCGCATACAGGAGGTGGTCGGAACAGGCCCTCTGTTCCACCTTTACTCTACTGGACTGGTGTGGTTAAACACTGGTAGTGCAATACGGATATGTCAGTCGATTCTTGCTATCATGGGTGGTTTCTGTATGAAACATTGAATGACAACGTATTGGGCTTCAGATTAAAAGATCCGCTTCAGTAATTTTGGCAGGAAAATGGTTCTTCCGGAGGGTTTTGA